TAAGCTGCGGAGATAAACCAGAAATAAAAACAGAAATCCCACGTTCAGATCGTAGTCCGCATGTTCAGGAAAAAAGAAATCGGGCTAGGCTCTGTATTCCCGCCATCTATAGGTCAGTTTCCAGGAAGGACTCAGMAAAAACGAGTAAGGCCTGTAGTTATTCGTAGTCGGTAGATCAAAACCCTATATCTAAAGATCTAACAAAGGACAAACGCAGTATCTCAGCTTCCGCCTTGGTGTTGTTTGTAGCCTGTAAATCAAAAAACTTTTTAACTAAAGATCTAGCAAAAAGACAAACAAGAAAACGCGGTAACTCTATTCCAGTAAGAATGGCCGAAGTTTCAAAATYGCTTTCCACCCAAGAGTCTTCCCCTGAAGAAAAAAMCGGGAAAGTCTCCTCTTTGAGTCGAGTAGATCCAAAAGCAATCGTGGCTGGAAATCTGGTTGGGGCTCAGCAGATCAGAACAGCCCGCAGATGAGGGTACTAGAAATTACCAGCCACAGARCTTTTTYCCCCATTTKTCCCATRACGGGGCTTTAGTACRTATGAATTTTCTCAGGCATTCATTGAAGTACTTACCTGGGTAGCCTTGCAGTCGAAGTAATCGTTTCAGGGTAAGTAAACTCACGCCCGTCAGTTCCACCTCAGAAGTCATTTGGTAAATTCTGTGCAGGCAGCTAGTGATTACAGCTTTTTTTTGGGGAATCGCAGAGTACGATGCAAAGTCTTGGATGGTTCTGAAGGTGAGCGCTCCATCCATCCAAAGTCTTGGATGTATGGCCATGTCCTGGTGGTTTAAGACGCTTGTACAAGACACAAGGAGATTACTGTGAGATTCTGTCTCCTCATGTGGAGTTCCTTTACTACGGTCTTCACCCGAGTATATCCTCTCCAAGTTCTATAACTGTATTTGCAGGGATAATGACTGGAAGGCGTTCTATTTGTGTGAAGACGGTGGACAAGGTCAGGGATGACATTGTTTGATATGAGTAGTACCTGTTAAACAACCAGTTCGGGGAGAGTATTTCGTCGAACCTGATTCTATGCTGACCCTGACCTCTCCAGCCTGGATGCCCAAGGAAAGTTGGTTTGCACCAAATTGAATTCGCTCGAAGACTTTCTTCCGGCTGCTTTTTTTTTTTTTTTTTTTTTTTTTTTTGCATGTAAAACTTCCGTAAAAGCAACTCTGCTTAATTTTTCTACTAGTTTTCTCTAACATAGCAGAACCTTTTTTTTTTTTTTTTTTTTAAGCAGGGCCTTACGGTCCTGGCTCCTTCTATTCTGGGGAGCGTCAGTCCGGTTCCTATTCCACCGGCAATTCAGAATGCACATTACATTGAAACTTAACCACGCTTCCTTCCGTTTGGCCGAAGGACCCCTGAACAGCATTGATTGCTCCAACTTGGTGGAGGATTGACTGTCAGCTTGCCGTGTTCCTCTCTTTCCTCTCAGATCTGGAGGCCAGATCTGCCAGATAGTGCTATGTCACCTGGAAAGAGTTCATCCTTTGTCGCTGTCGGCCTGTGTCCTCCCCACTCGTCTGCTCTGCCTGTCAGGCGTGATATCCCTTTTCCCATTTTATCTGTCCCCCTTTTTTGAAAACATCCCTAAAACCCTAAACCCTAAACCCTCAACCTGTGAATCCGTACTCCAGCCACCCTTTGAGTCCTTCCTTTTCCCTTGTTCAGGTCTTTTGGTGCCGTCCATCCAAGTCTGTGCTATCAATCTATAGCTGTGGCAGTTTAATCTTGTCAAACTCCCGTGGCAGTCTGATCTAGCTGTGTTTTGCTCGTCCACAGTTATCTGCTAACGATAGCCTCTTCCTGAGTTTGAGATGTGCCAGTCTTTCCAGCAAATGGTGTCATCTCGTGTTCAAGAAGTGATTGATGCAACCGCCTTTAACCTCTGTTGGTAACTCCTTTCTGGCGCTGAGTTATGCCTCTCTTTCCAATAGATACAGTCCTCTCATCTCTGTGCAGTATTGCCGTTTAAACAACCAATTCTTGTACAGCCTCAGTCTCTCATTCTTTCGCTTTTCAGAACCTAACCTACATCCGTTGCTGATTTGCGGATTTCATGTCAAGCAGATTTGAATTTAAAATTGCGAAAGTTGGGGCACTCAAAATTCTGCTACCCCCCTTGCACCCGGTAGGCGAAATCTGGCCACAGCGTATGTGTGCACGAGCGGCAGCATCACGAGGCCCGTGTTGTACTGCTAGTTTAATCGAATCATCGTGAGAGAGACCTGGGACATCTGGACGATAGGTGCACTTGAAGGCCATCATGGCAGAAGTTGATTGTTTTTAAATTTGAATAAATGCGTTTAATAGGCCAGGCCCTGAGGATGGGTCACACATTACTCAGTCCCACATTCACGAGTGTGAAACTACCTGCCTGCTGGTGGGTCTCTGCCCCTGGTAACCAGAATTTCTAGGTAGGGAGAACCGTCCCATGGGTATGCCAGAAGGGAGGGAAGGGCGATTCAGTATTTCCCTTTTGGTGGTGAAATCCTGTCGGTCCCTTCCCTTTCTGACTTGGTTGTTGATTGTCATAAGATCAGCTGTCCCAGCGTATCATTAGATCAGATCATTCAGATGTGAACCCATTGATCCCATTGACTTATCATGGTTAACGAACTGGGACTCAATCGGCTCAAAATCTGTTGTTGTTTTCCTATTATTATAATAGGGACCATTTCTCGATTTATGCGTGTCATCCGTCCTTGCGCAGGGGCTATTTTGCTTATTACCCTTCTCTTTATCGTTCCAATTTTAACGGATGTTCCGAAGGACAATAGGCTCAAAATCTAAGCAGCATCATACAATCAGATGTCCCCGAAACGGTAAAAGACCCTATATCCTCAACCCTAAACCCTAAACCCTAAACCCTAAACCGTAAACCCTAAATTCCTTAACTCCTTAATCTTTGACCCTAACCCCTAACCCCTAAACCCCTAATTGAGTATCTAACTGGATGTCAGGGTTACGTCGTGACCCATGTGTGCCTGTGTTGTTGTAGAAAAATGGGCATTGGGCAGTAGAGTTTGATTCTCCCCTTCTTTGTTCAAAGGGCTAGCCCCTGATATTGTTAAATGGGATGGGATTTGAACTCTTGAGCAACCACGCAGGTACTACTTGTGCTTCAATGAAGAAGAGAAGATTCGAAAAATGCCAGAGGAATGTGAAACGGTTTTCACCTTAGAAGTAGCAGATGCAGATCCCAGGGCTCGATCCCTAGACCTTACCACACCCGTGTACAGTATTGAGTCGACGCTGAGTGTTTGAACCCGTGACCTGTGTTTTGGTAGTTGATTGTTGTCTGTCGTAGGTCTGTGTAGCTGTAGGGGTTCGATCTGTAGGTCTGTCGAGTAGGGGTCATAGCTGTGTAGAGGCCGTAGCTGTAGCACTTCTGAAAGGTCAAGGTCGTAGCTGCAACAGTCCTGAAAAGTCAAGGTCGTAGCTGCTACAGTCCCGAAAGGCCAAGTCCACAGACTTCCGGAAGGTCCGGAAGTGGCCTTTCGAGTTTTTCTCTTGTTACTCACAGCAGACCAGAGGCAAGTGGGCAAGTGGTGAGTCCAACTTCGCTTCGTCAGCGGTACTAAGTCCCAGTCTCACTTTGTCCAGTCAGCAAGTACCATGTGGGACTGTGTGCACCAGGGGCCCGGTGGAAAAGGGTAGACCAACGACGTACAGAAGTATAAATCAAGAGGCAGAGGCCAGCCATTCATTCATTCCTGCGTGAGCCATGCAGAAGCGCTGCCAGGTATCTTGTGGGAGGTGGTCTGTAGATGCCCGAGTTCCGAAGTTGAAGTGGGCTGAAGGGAAAGAGTTCGTCCAAGGCCAGTAGTAGTAGAGCGTCCATACCCGCTAAGTTAGTGATAGAGATCAGTGTCTGTGTGTGTTTGGTACTGAGTTATGTGGGTGCGATATCCAGGGAGATCCAGTGTGAAGTGCGTGTGAACAGTGGAGGTGAAGAAGGATGTGTCAGCGCTCAGGCGCCATAGTTAAATCAAAGCGAGTTTGTAACTGAACTGTGTCTTTGACTTGAATATCTCTCAGCTTTGTGTGGGCGCCCAGCGCCAGTGTGGAATGCCATCTGTTTGTATGCATGCGAAGTGAAGAAGAAAGTGAGTCTGATTGCAAATGGTTCAGGGGTTGGGGTTTAGAGTATAAAGTCTAGGGTTTGGGGTCTAGAGCTACTTGGGACCGAAGTGACAAAAATGCCCCTGAGGAATTTGAAATGTTGACATTGCACCTGTGTGATATTCTGCGCCTCCTCCTCCTCCTGCTGCTGCTGCCGCTGCTGCTACTGCCAGTGCTTGTGCATTGTCCGCTGTGCTCTTTTGCATGACTGCACAAAGAAGAAAAAGGGGAGTGTGTGTCATTTATATAAACCAAAACATGGGAGCTCATCAACCTTGGCATTGTCATGGCATGAGATGCTGGCCTGAAGAGATGATTAATTGACAGAACCTTACCCTCCCTGTAGTAGATGCAGGGTTCAGTGATTTGCCGTGTACTGTGTTTGTTTTGCTGCAACTGTTGATGTCTCTATGCATAAGCTGCATGTGCGGGCTGTACCTTTAAGTTGTCTGTCTGTTTCCAACCTTGTGCTGTGTTTATTTTGCTGCAACTGTTCATGTCTCTCTGCACAATTTTTTTTTTCATTTTTCTACCTTTTTTGTTTTGTTTTCACCCCCTTCTTTTTCAGAATTTTTAAAAATTTGGACCATTTCTCGATTTATCTGACTGTCTCATTCTTGTGTAGGGGCCATCCTAATCTTCTTTGTATCGTTCCAATTTGAACGGATGTCCCGAAGGACACTTGCATGTGCAGGCTGTAGCTTCTCAGTTTGCAACCTGCAGTCCTATCAGCAAGTTGTCTCTTCCTCCAGACTGGCTCTTGTTATGAACATGATTGTCCGTTGAAATTTTGTCAACGCACACTCACAGGAACTCCCGTACACGCCCATACATGCACAAAAGGAAGGGGAGAGGTAGTGGAGTGTCACACCGCCCAACAGAAGGAACGCAGCGGAAGACTCAGAGGAGCGAAGTGACAGAACACACAACATAGTGAATTCTTTCCACACAAATCCCAAAAATCATTCATAGAAGACAACTGAGTGATCACAGCCAGAAATCAATGAAGATATGACAACTCAAACACAGTATCACCACTGTTTATTAAACCCAGAGCATTGTTTTCACTAAATAACCTCAGAACCCTGTTGCGCTACCCCGAACAGCTAAAAATAGCACCAGATTCCCAGGTAACACCCAGCGCCACCCTGACATACAACTCAGTGGCCTGCGCTAAGATGAAACAGGCTCCCAAAGCCAATCGCCACTTTGATGATGAGGAAGAAGCTCAGGGCCAACAGTCTTTGTGAAAGGTGAAGTCCAGACGATGATAACCTCCGAGAAGATGCAGCTATGGCTGCATCGCCGCTGGGACCCTACTCCTGAGGAGGGTCAGCAGTGCACCACGTGCTCCAACGCATCAGACCTCTACTAGCCCAGACCGCTTCGACTCTCAGAGAGGCAGAGCAGGCAGCGTTGACCCCAGTCTGGTCAGCGCTCCGAAGGTCTGGCTATGTCCGCTGTCTCCCACGCAGGAATCAGCAACCACGAGCTGATACCTTGTGCGCAGCAACTTCCACCAGAAGTGTCAACTGCCAAGAGCCCAGGACCGATGTTCCCATCCTATCCATACTCTACCCTAGCCTAGACTCAACCTAGACCGGACTGACTGACTGACTGGTACCGTTTCTGTTTCGGCCCCTAGGGCCTCTCCCTACCCGGCTATAGGCTATAGGACCGTCTATCAGTGTAGGCCCATCGAGCCTGTCTGTCCTAGGCGTAGCCCGGGTCTGCTATTCGCAGTTAGGGTGACTGTAGGAAATTCGAGTTAGTACGGGGCCTTTATTTTCCCATATTTACAGATATGTCCCTCACGAATTTTCCTTACATGTAGGTCTCTCGGTTAGCCCTCAGCCAAACAAAATTTCAAATTTGTCCCTACCACAGCCTCTTCAGAGAGAGGCTACAGGCAACCTGGAACCAGCAAGTCATTGCACTCTTCCCAACTTCTCTACTTGTCAATCTCAGGAGGCCATTGCCTTGAACTCTTGAACAAATTTCAATGAACTTTAATGGACTGCACTGTCTTGGCTTGTTTGTGTCTATGTTGTATTTGTAGCAGCTGTTTATGACGTTGGCTACATCCAACTAGACAGGTGATATCCTGCCTTGCTCAAAGGCTTCACTGTGAAGGTTACAAGAGAATGGTGCATGATCGAGGAGGTAGTCCTCAAACAGAGGGAACAGAGGATGCCAACGAGGGAATCCCATATCATATGGAAGAGCAGGATAACAATGCTCAGCATGAACGAGAGATTTTGTCTGCAGTGCGGACCATCCTTGGTCGTGCGGAATTGCTTGACGTCTCATTTCTCTGCAAGGATGGGCTGGTGCGTGCAAGTCGGACGTTATTGGCAAGTGGGAGCAAGTACTTCTCTAAGTTGCTGTACGGGGATATGAAGGAGAGATCAATGGGCACTATACCCCTTCCCACTGCAAAGGCAGGCGCTGTGCAGATTGTTGTCAATTACCTGCACGGCCATCCGATTAGGTGGAGCAGCGATGACAGGTGCTGGGAGGATCTGGTTGAAGCATACTGTTTGGCCTCTCAGTATCAGATCACCAACTTGTGCGAAGGGATCTTACTGTTGCTGCGCAGGGTTACTCAAGCTCGAGAACTTGGCGATCTGCTAAATGCAGCAACCTCAAGGGATGCAGAGGAAGTGCTAAGTGCTGCATTGAAAGTAATGAATGAAGTGTTGGTCTTCGATTCAACATCATTCCTGGGCTGGAGCAAGGAAAGCATCACATACTGCTTGGAGAATGCGATCACTGAGACGATGGTCGTAGAGGCCGTTCTCTCTGCCGCGTCCGACAACTGTAGCTCTGTTTCTAAGCAGAAGAACTCTCACATTCTGCCTGAGATAGGCAATTCCGCTACGAAGAAGTTGGAGGACGCTGTCGGGTCAGAGAATGTGATATTACGCAGTTGTCAAGAAGCTGGGGAAACACTGAAGAAATCTGATGCAAGGATAAGACGTTCGTTGTCCAGGGAGGACTTGCGGGAAATATTGGAATATCACATCAACCTTGCATTCGTTGACGCCCTGTTTGTGACCAGGAGGATCGAGCCACTGGAAGTCTTACGGCCAGAGGTACTCTATGCAGTGTACAGAGTGCATGCTGTTTGCTTCGCTGGAGGATGGCCAATTAAATCTCTCTTCATGATACCCTGGCGTTCTCTATGTCCCAGGGTGTCATTTACAGCTGTAAAAGTCGGCCAAGATGGAATTTGCAAGGCTTACACAGAGGTCTTAATCCCATCTCTCTGGGCGTATTCAAGATCATGGTTCTTCGTCTCGGAGAAGCTGGTTCAGCGAGTGCGATGCACATCTCTAGGGACTGGTTCGAATCCGGCAAGGATGAATTTACCTCTTCTAAGTGGCAAGCACATTTGGATGGTTCGATCTCTAGAGCACTGTAAAGATTTTGGACTTGGTGTAAGTTCCTCAACTAATTCAGTCCGTCTCCTTTGTGGCCGGTGGGGAAACAGATATTTGAGTGTCGCTCGGAGAAGCACGGATGAAAAGAGCAAAACTGTCAGGCAGGAATTGTCACAGGAGGTTCTTCGTTCATCCGGACTTGAGACGTTCAGTAAATGTGGTTCTGTGTTTGTAATCTTGGACATGAATAAGAAATCACTGAGTTTTGCTGATGAACTAGCACGCTACATTACGTGTGAAGGAGAATATCCTGAAGCCCTTGTTGACCTTCCATGCGATACTGCATTGCACCCAGTCTTGTACATGACCAATCCTGGTTGTGCAGAGATAGAATGGATCCAAAGTTCCCCCCGTGCACAGCCCACCTGTCCAGGCTTAAGGGAGTCGCAATGTGAGAGTTGATCTCGATCGTCCTTCATGATCATCGCCGATGGGCAGATTTCTAACTGATTCCAGCAATGAGGGAGACAACAGTTACTGTGCCATGAAGTGAAAAGTAAGGTGATGGAGTCACATCGATACATATGAGAGTAGCAAGCTTGTGCTGGTGGCTGTCTGAGACTCTGGGAAGAGAACGTGCTATGCTTTTACCGTTCGGGGATTGCACCTGGCCAGATAGGGTGTTATCGATGGTTTGTTGGCAGATCGTGCAGGCACACGTGTGCGCACACATGCGCACACATGCACACGCATGCACACACATGCACACACATGCACAAACATGCACACACATGCACACACACAGACTGGCATATGATAGCAAGCTTGTGTTGGTGGCTGTCTGAGACTCTGGGAAGAGAACTTGTTACGCTTTTACCGTTCGGGGATTGCAGCTGGTCAGATAGCTAAGGGTGTTATCGATGGTTGGTCGGCAGATCATGCGGGCACACGTGTGCACACACATGCACACACATGCACACACATGCACACACATGCACACACATGAACACACGTGCACACACAGGCTGGCATATGATAGCCAGCTTGTGTTGGTGGCTGTCTGAGACTCTGGGAAAAGAACTTGTTAGGCTTTTACCGTTGGGGGATTGCAGCTGGCCAGATAAGGTGCCATCGATGGTTTGCCGGCAGATCAAGCGGGCACACATGAGCGCACACATGCGCACGCATGCACACACATGCACACACATGAACACACAATGTCATCCACACAGTGTCACACAGAGTGGACATGGTTAAGTTGGGCCCAGGGTTTTCTAGACAATTATAGTGCTTCTGGTCTCCCACCAAGGTCCTATTGTATGGGTGGTTGCAGGCTTGTTTACTTTGACGCTAACCTGGTTTGGGGAGGCCCAGGGGGATAGTCTGCTAATCCTTTATGTTGTCGCAAGACTTAGTGCTGATCAAGCAGATCCATGTGTAGGCAGCTTTGAGCGACATTTTTTAATGCGATATCTTTTTCTGAATGCCGGAATGGGGTTTGCTCTGCGAGTTTTTTACCGTAGCGATACAGCGGTTTATTTGCAGTCAATGATAAGTGTCATTAGTTCCACTCAAACTTTGTTGTTGGGCTGAGTTTGAGCTTGGGGTAGGCCTCTGCTTCGCATCTCGTCACTTGGGTTTTACAGATGAATCTTATTTCGGATTTCGTTGTGTCCTGTGTTAGTAATGCTGTTGGACTCTCACTGATTGACAAAGAGTTTTCTTCCCATGGTATGATTCCCTTGGGCTGTACCCATATTTGTAGCGCATAGCAGGACGCCCAGGGTGTTTTTTTTTTCCCTTTTCCTTTTCCTTTTCCTTTTCCAGGGTGTAACATGGAAGAAGGGCCAGGTTGCTTTTTTTTCTTTTTCTTTGGAACACATGTTCTGTGTCACATGGTAGGAGGTCCAGGGGTGCCGGGTGGATTTGATTTTTCTTTGGAAGTGTCTCATCGAGGGCCAAGGTGCTTTTCCTTGTTCTTTGCAACACATGTTGTAGGTGTCTCATAGCAGTCTTGCCTGTTTGGCCTGAGACTTTCATGAACAGACTCAAAGAACATGTTGAACTTCTGTGGGTGAGATTCTTCCAGGATGTGCTTTTCTGAGAACATGGTTTTATGGAGGGGAATTGGGGTGCTTTAGGGGCAATTAGGGCAATAAGTTAAACACAACATGTACTCTAGAAAGATCTCAGGTCTCACCAACGTACATGCTGCGATCTTTGTCTCCTGCAAATTTGCATTCTTTGCATGGTTCTCAAGCATGGCTGCAGTGTTTCCTAGTTTGTCCTCTTTAAGTACTCGTGTAGGTCAAGTGGGTAGAGGTGTCGGCAGTTCCTGCTCAACTGCACAAATGCCTGGCTGTTTATCTGTTTGTGGAATTGCCTTTTCTTCCGTGCATGTGTACCTCTGAGTTCATGCATGCGTGTGTGTGTGTGTGTGTGTGTGTGTGTGTGTGTGTGTGTGTGTGTGTGTGGGTTTTGTGTTTGTGGGTTTTGTGTGTGTGTGTGTGTGGTAGGAATATAAGACCCCAGCAAAAAAGCTTCACACCAGATGACCTTCTCCGAAACAGCACATCGCAAGGCTATGTGCAGCCAAACATTAGTCCAAGACTCAGACTGTCATGCCAACGCACAAACGGACTTCAGACTTCAATGACACATCAGGGCAGACACTCAGATTGACGGTTGAGAGAGGAAGGGTGAGGCGAGAGGACAGACAAACAACAGCAACAGCAAGGAACAAAGGCTGGAGGGTACAGGGGAGGCGGGTGGGCAGACAACCAGCACTAGGCAACAACTGGGTGGACAGGGCAGAGAAACCAGAAGAACACCAACAAGCCACGAAGCAACAAGGCACGACAACACACAAACCACCGAGAAAAAAATACAAGTCAAAAAATGCAAAGACCGAAAAGAATAAAACTGATGATGAAAGATTGTTTCGTCGGAGTTGCACCGACTCATCGGGAGGCTGAACCCTCGACAATCTGCAGGATCTCCGTATTTGATGGTTAGGGTCATGAACCCTCTGACCCATGGTGAAGACAGACTGTCCCCAAACGGAACATAGCAGCTGGCAGCAACCCTGTGGAGCACCAGGCAACACAGTAGAGGCAACACGGCTGCACAACGCCAGAAACGACTGCAAGGAACGACATTGCACGCAGGACATGCAGCGCGGCAACCGTGTAGTGAAGCACAAGACAAACACAAGCAAGGCAACCACACTGCAAGGGACGACAGGGCGAGCGGACCAGCAGCTCGACAACCGTGGAGCGGAGCACAAGGCACCAGCAACAAGGCAACCAACCTACAAGGCACACAAGCAGCAAACACGGAAGGCACGGCCAGCAGATGGGCGGCAAAGCAGCGAAGCGCAATGCAACACCGACAACGCGGCCGCACCACACAGCGAACACAGCAACTTGCAGAGAGCCACATGCAAATCAAGCAGGACAGGCAGCAAGGCGGCGGTGGAGCGCAGATGGGGCAGTCCACACATCCAACACGGAGCAAAGCAGCGAATGACCTACTCAGTGACACATGACGATTGAACCCCGCAGACTGTTGGTTCCCACCACCCACTGAGCCAGGGAGTCACGCCGACGAGCATCCGTCATCACCCACAGGCAACACAAACATCACGAACTAAGCGGCCTCCATAAGAGTGCAGTAGGCACTCCAAACGATGAACCACCAACTGTTTGGCACTACTTAAGGGTGCTCAGTCGGGTAAGAAAAAATTAGAGGATGAACAGATAGCAGGACGAAAACAAACAGACATAAAACTGATTGTGTGTGTGTGTGTGTGTGTGTGTGTGTGTGTGTTCCAGTTCAGTCCATCACCAATTCGACGTGCGGCCCACCACTAGGGTCAGGGGTCAGGGCGTAACCAATCATCTAGTATTGTATTTTGCTCACCCACTTTGTGCGCATGGTGCAATTCTGCACGACTGGACTATCGCAAGCAAGACGACAAGGCAAGCTGCAAGTAAAGACTAGGCAGCAAAGACAATAAACAGCCGTGCAAACAAAAACAACAAGGCAAATGCAGTGAGGCGACATGTGCGCTGGACTGTGTGAGATCAATTCGTAAGTTGGCCACAGTGTTCTGGCCTCTGGCTGACAAGCATGTATACGCCTTTTGGGATGGGTGCAGTAATCTGTATGCATCTTCCAGCTGTGTATCAGCCATGAACTAATGCAGCATGATCGCGTCAAGATGGGGGTGAACTTTGGGGGTCAGGGGGTGTAGGAGGGAGCGCTGTCGCGTGTCCAGTTGCCGCAGCAGGTTTGCGGGACAGGGGACGCAGTCGGATTGGCGGCTTCGTTGAGGAGTACGTTGTCTCAGAGCCACGTGTCCTCACGGGATAGCGCTAGGTTGGCGAAGTGAAACGGGGTGATTACTACCTGGCTTGGCATCGCGTCTCTATGATGGACAAATGTGGAGCCTTGTGCGAAGAGTTTGCCCCAGGAGGTAAGCGAAGTGAAGATGAGTGCTGTTAACATTGGTACTCATGTACTAGTGTCATGATTGGTGGTTGTGGCATCGCTTCTCCAGGGTGGACGAATGTGGAGCGTTGAGCGAAAAATTTTCCCCAGGAGGTAGGTGACGTGATGCCGAGTGCTGTTACGATTGGCGCTCTTGTATGGGTGTCATGATTAGGAGCTATATTGACATAGCTAGTAAATGAGGAAAGTGCAACGCGGAATGCTGCTATGCTGGCATTAGTAAATGCGGAAAGCAGCGCGCGGAGTACTGCTATGATGACGCTATTGACATTACTGGTAAGCGCTTTATTGATGGATTGATAGTCTCTTGTGATTGAATTGGAGTAAGGGATAGGTGCTTGCGCTCATAGCGCAGCAAGTTTGTGGGACAGGGGACGCAGTCGGATTGGCGGCTTCATGGAGGAGTACGTTGTCTCACGCACAGAGTGCTGCTATGATGGCTCTATTGACATTACTGGTAAGCGCTTTATTGATGGATTGATAGTCTCTTGTGATTGAATTGGAGTAAGGGATAGGTACTTGCGCTCATAGCGCAGAAGGTTTGCGGGACAGGGGACGCAGTCGGATTGGCGGCTTCGTGGAGGAGTATGTTGTCTCAAAGCCACGTGTCCTCACGGGAAAGCGCTAGGTTGGCGCAATGATCTTATCGCCGTGAGTGCCGATAGTGATCAGATTGTACGCCATTGGCGATTCGACGAGGAATGATGCTAATTTATTGGCGAGGAATGGTGCTAATTTATTGACGAGGATAGTAATCGATCGACTTATTGGCGCAAAGAATAGGCGCTTGCTCGCACAACATTTTGATACTCATCGGTGATAGTCACGCTCATTGCTTTATGATACCCAGTGGTTCGACGCAAGGGTGATCGTCGTGGTCGATTGGTAAGGATCATCGAGGGGGCTAATATGATCAATGCTCTTCGACACTCACTGGTGATCGTAGTGGTGAATACTCATCGACGCAGGGTGATCGTCGTGGTCGCTAGTAAGGATCGTCATTAAGTGGTGAATACTCATCGACGCAAGGCTGATCGTTGT